CCTTCCTTCTTCCTTTCTTTCTTCTTATCTTTCTTTTGTTATTTCCTTCTTTTCTTTCTTTCTTTCTTTCTTTCTTTCTTTCTTTCTTTCTTATTTCCTTCCTTCCTTCCTTCCTTCCTTCTTCCTTTCTTTCTTCTTATCTTTCTTTTGTTATTTCCTTCTTTTCTTTCTTTCTTTCTTTCTTTCTTTCTTTCTTTCTTTCTTTTGTTCTTTCCTTCTTTTCTTTCTTTCTTTCTTTCTTTCTTTCTTTCTTTCTATCTTTTCCAAGAAACTTCCTCAGAACTGGAGAAGCTTCTTGGATGAGAAGCAAAACGTCTTCAAGGAAAAAACAAAGAAAGTCCAGTTGCTTTTTGAAAAGGCACCTTTGGGTCTGTCATTGAAAACAGCAGTCACTTTCAGTGCTTAAGCCCTTGGGTGCCTTCTGTGGTTTATATTTCATTTGGAATAGCATGATTGTGTAGACTGCAATCTTTTGAAACTGACTTGCAACGCATTGTAGAAAATGGGATCTTCTGATAATTGGGAACTGAAAAGCGTTTCTTTTCAGTATTTGAAGATTTATTTCATTTATGAATATATGATCAAGGCTACTCAAAGCCAGGTGCAAAGCTGCAGCTGGTGCCATCGTAACAGCAATCTAAAATCCCGGGAGTACAATATTATAATTAAAGTAAGATTTATCATGTGTATTCCTGGCAGTAGGAGCTCTGCAGCATTCAAGTTCTAAAGTCCTTCAAGAAGACTCACAGTTTAAGAAGATAGAAGACCCAGAGAGTCAGAGTTTCCTATGCTACATAAGAGCAAATTCTTCCAGTGGAAGTAGACTTGCTTTTAGGACCCTTCCGATTGCATCGCTCAATAGATGGGGACCTTCATCAGCATATGTAATTTGTTGTTTGATTGGCAATCATTTTGTGCCTTGTGTTCCTTGAAATTGTAGGGGCTGGTCCTGATGGGGTTGAAGAAATAAAGAGGCATCCCTTCTTTTCAACCATTGATTGGAATGTGAGTCTATGAAATAAATCTGTACTCAGAGTACCATTTTCGCAAGGACTCGGGTTTAACGTGATGCTTGACAACTCTTGCATAATGTTGGGGAATAATTTGAGCAGGTAAAGGGGAAAAAAGCCAATATTATTTCTACCAAAGGGAGGAAAAAAGAAAGAGTGATCCTGCAATACAAAAACCTATTATTTCTTCTCCTCCTCCCTTCTCTTTCTCCTCCTCCTCTTCTTTTTCTCCTTCTTCTCTTCTTCTCTTCTTCCTCTTCTCCTCCTCCTCCTCTTCAGTCTCTTCTTCTTCTCTTCTCTTCCTCCTCTCCTCCTCCTCCACCTCCTCCTTTTTCTTCTTCTCCTCCTCCTCTCCTCTTTTTCTTCTTCTCTTCTTCTTCCTTCTCCTCTTCTCCTCCTCCACCCCTCCTCCTCTTCTTCTCCTCCTTCTTCTTCTCCGCTCCTTCCTCTTTTCAGTCTCCCCCTCCTCCTCTTCTTTTGCACCTTAGATGTACCTAACAGTTCATATTTTTTTATTTCTTTTCATAGCATTTAGAAGCTTTTCAAAAGCATTTCTAGAAACAGGAGAATGCAGGTTCAAGAAAAGCCTGATACCTTTTGATTCGCTAATAACTGCCTGGTGCTTAGAGACTATTTATACTCCCATCCAGTAGTTTTCCTCTCCTCGATAAGTCCCTTTGAAGAAGCAAGCTCTTCTGTACTAGGAGGAGATGTTGAGTTTTATTCATTCCCCTTTCTGTGTCTCCAGATGGCTCTGGGGACAATCACAAGTGTGGGAAGAGGTACAGGCACAGAAAGGAAACATTTCTAAAATTGAACCTGCAGAAGCAAAGAACTTCCCATTAGAAAAGCAACATANCATCATTCGGGAGGGGTAACTATCCTTATCCCCAGGCCTGACGGGCGAGCCAGTTCTTCAAGGCTATGCGGAAGGCTTGGACGGTGGAGAGGGTACGGATCTCTATGGGGAGCTCGTTCCAAAGGGCCGGGGCTACTGCTGAGAAGCAGAAAACATTACATAAGAATTTAGCAAAAATTATTTGCTTGTTAATATAAGTGGCATTTTTTCAAGTTTCCTCCCAGGATTTTTAAACAGGTTTATTTTACTTTTCTGTTTTTTCTCTTTACAATAGTAATCCATAGAATTATATCCTAATTAATTGAGCTTGAGTAAAAGTTTATTCTTATACTTATTTGTGAGGGGAAAGTGTTGCTTAAAGTAACAGACTGCCAATTGTAAATGCTGGATGTAATTTCTAAAGCACCAAAATGATTTTCAAGAGTATAGTAAAATTGATTACAGCTGAATCCTTGAGGATTTAAGAAGAGTAGTTATAACTGAAGTAATTACTCCTGTATTCTGTACTTTGTTTCTTCTTTCTGTCATGTTAATGTTACCAAAAGTCTGTTTCTTTCTCCAATGGGATTTGTGATAGTATTTATCAAAATCACCATTACTCTTCACGTAGCTTGGCTTATAAACCCTATAAATTGGTTACACACACACACATTAAATAACATTTAAAAAATTGATAATATTTAACCAAGCTCATTATCATCCAGATGTGCAAAACAGTTTCCTCAATTCCACAACCATCCACCATGACCAAAATTATAGTAATTATTTTATCAGATAGGGACATTGGATATGTAAAAAAACTACTTGTTTTTTTAAAAATACAGCGAATTATTTTTGTTTGATTAAGGGAATCTATAAAATGTAGGGTATTGCATATTAATACAGAATTTCATGGGAGTATTTGGAGGCTAAGTATAGGAGCTCATTTGCTTGTGAGCTCAAAAGTAAGAGCTTACTAGTAAGAACATACAGTACTCTTGCTTTAAGCTTATCCTATTTTCCCCATTTGCCTAACGGCACCTGCAGTCAACATTATGACTATGCTGGGAATAAGAAAACTGTAAACTCATTGATGTTGCCTTGTCAGATTATTACAGTGCTAAAGTGTTTTCAGAAATGTTATAGATTGTTTTTATAAATAAAAATAGTATGTTTCGCACATTTTAATTCTCACTGTATTTGTCCTTCTGTATCTTGAACAACTTGAAAATAGGCATTCTGTTTTGAATGTGGGTGTTGCTGGTGTGCTGTTAATTTTCCCCCTTCAGTTTCTTTCTACATGATTTTAAATTGTTGTATTGGACCCATTTAATGTTAACATAAGCTTTGTTTATGAGCATATTAGTTGTTTGAAAAATCAGCTTATAACTCACATCCCTCTGGGTTGAACTCAGTCACTTTGCAAGCACCAGCTGGTATCTCCTTATAGTTAAAAGCTACATCTCACCTCTCACTGGCCCTAGTCCTCTAGAATTAACTTCTACAAAAAATTATCTGTAATCTATCAACAAGGTTAAAAAGTGTTTAACTACTTTTGTTGGCCTTCGTAAGACTGGTTAAAGTATTAAAATTATATATAAATGTATTATTAGTTTGATATAAAATTTAATGTTTATTTTAAAAGAATGGACTATTCAGTTTCTGGGGATAAATATTAAATTCTATTGTAGTGATTTCATCTACTAATGTTTGATGTTTTATTTTATTAATTAATCCTGGAATCTTCTTAAATGAAAAATGAAACAACTGCTGTTAATGGACACAGAAGACCCCATACTTGGAATGATACCATTATTAATATAGAAAAAAATGTTATAAATGGGTAATATTATGCCATACCATTCCAAGTTTTCTTTAGATTCCATGAATTCACTGAAGATCATAAAATAATTAAGGATTTCTGGGTTCATAGAAAGATGAACCTGTGTGGGATAGTTGAAATCATTGTGGGGTCAACAAACCTGTCAAATCCCACACTCTGTTCCTGCTGTGGTTAACCAGATGCCTTTTTGTAGGTAAAAAATACTGCATATATCCAGTTGTGTTCCCAGCATCTATCATTAGAACTATATTAAAAATAATCTAGCCACAATGGTTAGTAACTATTGATAGTCTTGGCTCCATAGATATCTTTATCTTCCTCTCCGTGAAGTATTTTTTTAAATATGGCCTAAAGCTTTCTATAAATGGAACATTTACATATGTTTAAGTAGAATGACAACTGTGCTTGTTGTTGGCTGTGTATTGTGCCTGCAGCCTCTTAATAATAACCCAATATCTTGAAAAGTTTAATTGCATTTTTCCTTTAAGATAACATTTAATACTGTGTTATGCATATAAGCCTTGCTTCCTAACAATGAAGATTTTCAGAGGTATCAGCACTAAATTAAGACTCGGGGTTTTTTTTTAGGAGAAAGTCTCTGAGGAATGATGATAGTTCTGGGATATAATGTTTGCTTACAGATATATACAGTACAGAAGAAAATAAGGTGAGGCATTTATTGCATTGATATTCCAAAGATTACTCTTCCACACAGAGGTTGGTTTCTGCCAGTTCACCCCAGATCAGGCAAACTGAAAGTGGTGGCGGTGGGCCGGTAGTGGCTCCACCACTGGACACTTCTGTATGCATGAGCAAACTGGTAGTAAAATAAATTGAAACCCACCACTGCTTTCACACCAGATTTCTAGATCTATCCACAGCATTTTGCAGGTTACTTCCACTACAGGGTGATGACAAAAATGACAATTCTTCTTGACCCTGGGAGAAAGTAAGATGAAGTAATTTCCCTACCTTCTCAGCCTCTACCTTCCATCTTGAACTATTAAAACCCAATGACATCTGTCACCTGCCCCTTTGATGTCAGGAGGCATTGTCTCTGACTTTCTATTTTGATAGTTCAATTTACAGACATCTTGGACTCAAGAAATTAGGTCAAGTTTTATGGGAAAAAGGAATCCTTTGGGGTCACCTTAACCAACCTCCTCTAAACTCATAACAGTTGAATGCTCCTTTCAAGCTCATATAGCCATAATCATATTTGACACTTTTAAAGGCTTAACCTCTTTAAAGGCAGTGTAGTGTGTATACGGCATTGAAAAGAAAAGCCACAGTTTTTTTTTAAAGTACAGTCATTCCCCTCTTCATGAAAGAAGGCATAAAAATGCACACACCAAGGAAGCAGGAGGCTACCCTAATCCAATGTACATGGTTACATCGATTGTAACAGAGTTATAATTCCTTTTTTTTCAGAGATATACATGAAAATGGATACTTCCTTGTGTTTTTAGTTCATCCTTTAAACTGGAGGATCTTATGTCACTCATTGTTCTGTGAGACCTCATATGGTTTACGATAGTTAGCAAAGAAAAGAAAAAGAAATGCAAACAAATTTCAGTTTTATTTTTAAGTAAAATTGGCAGCTTGCCGAGGGCATCCCTGTTCATTTGCTAATAATAAAATGTGTGCATTGCAACACGACTATTATAATTTTAAATAAAAAATTCTTAAAATCAGACACAGTTCATCAAAGAGTGATTAGATGATTTTTAACCATTTCAGAGCTAGCTAGCTCTTCTCATTATCGTCATTAAACCCCTCCCTTTTCCTTGAAAGCTTTTTATCTTCACTTATGTTCTACAGGAGAAATTGGAGTCTACTTGTCCGCTGGATTGCTTGATATATTTTGTTGCTAGTTTCCCGTGATAAAATGCAAGCAAAAACAGAATGCTTGTGCTCTAAAGGAAAGGAGCAAGAATGAGCACACAGCTCTACTGCAGGCATTTTTTTTAGAGCATGCTGTCCCTTTCTCTGTAATACGGTGCAGCCCTCCCCTGAGCAGCAGCAAGCAGTCTGATTGCTCTCATTCAACACATTTGGTATGCATGAGCACAACCAATCCAAGCTGGGAAGGTGTTTTCTTACGGAGGATCAGTGGCTAAAGCAAATCAGTGGCTAAAGCACTTTGTCAGATTTTCAGTCAAGTTAAAGGAGACATCTGGCTAATGGAATTGCAGGTGTGGACCCCTAATGGACATGGAATTTCAGCACAGTGGAGGAGCATTTGTTTTTTAGACATTGGTAAGGTTTGTGTTTCATTATTCCAGTGGAATATTTGAGGGTCATGAGTCAAAGTGATGCTCCCCGACCACTAAATTGGACCATTCGGAAGCTCTGCCATGCTGCCTTTCTCCCATCTGTCAGACTACTTAAGGTACTGTGAAAACACTGTGTTTTATGATTGTGATTATGTTGTTAGCTGTTTCTCATGCTGCAATTATAGTACAAATCCACAATTACTTTTTGCAGTAGATGCTGCTTTTTTCATTCAGTGGAGATATTCTGTTGCTCATATGTAGGTAAGAAAAGTGCATTTGTAGACTTGGGTGGAATTCTTAGCCTTGGTATAGTGTCAGATGCATTTAATGCTAAAATAAAATGTTTGAGATAGCAAGGATAATTGTTTGTATGGTACAAATATAGATTGAAAGAAATACCAATAGCTCTCCGTTTCTCTTCTTAAGTCTCCAGATCCATTTATGGGAACAGCGGAGTGTTGTGCTCATCTTTGGTAATTCCCATTGCAATTTATATAAAAACTAGTTCAGAATCTTCCCATGGAGATATGAGATCAGCTTCTGGACAGAGGAAAACTTCCTAATCAGATTCTTTCCTCCATCTAGAAACAAGCTTCTTTTGATTTTCTTAAGCATCTGTGTCTTGGTTGTTGTTATAAAAGTGGCATAAGCTCCTTTTGATCCAGTAGAAGAAGAACCCGAGCATATCCTCTATTTAACTATACAATAATTTGTAGGGTACCATTGAGATTGTTGTATTCTACTTGAGTAAATCTTAGACCAACCTTAGAAGGGGATATATTGAGAAACAAGTATTTAATATCGGTTTGTAAAAGTGAGTTTTATTAGATCGACTTCGCTACTTTTGCACTTTTGTTTCACAAAAACTTCCACTTTGATTTATGATGTTTCTCTCAGATGCGATCACAGGATGACAGCCACACTATGCATTACCTGTCGTTGTATAATGCTTCTAGTATTCAGAACATGTTAAGCTGAAATGCAGCCACTGAGCTTTGATCTATGGCTAGAAAGCTAGAGGGAAATATTTTTCCTTTGTCCCATTTCTCTCTTCAAACCTGTGCTCCACCAGCTGTTCATAGGCAGGGAAGAAGTAGCAGGAAAAAAAATTAAGCAGACTCAGCAGCACCTTTCTGGTGCTCTTATCTATATTCCTCCACCCACCCCTAAATCATGCTGCATTGTTATGATCTCTGACTAAAGCTTTGCTATAAAGGACTTCCCCAACATGAAAGAATGTGGAAGGATTTGAGGACATTTTGTGATACAACCTAAGGCAAATGCATCAAGTGCTTGGTTCTAATAGCAATACAGAATGTTATAAAAGAATGCTAATTGCTTTTAGAGATGCCAATTATAAAGATACCTAATTATTTCTTGCTTTTCTCACATACAATGAAATAATTTCAAGTAGAAATTTCTGTAGGAATTATTAATTGGAGAAGAAATTTGCAAAAGGAGGGTTACTCTGGAATGAACCCCCGGAATCGACATGCATCATGCTGTGTACATATGTTTGCTGTGGACTAGTTTGTGGATTAAGCCAGTCCATAATCTTATTTATCTACATTTATCAAATTATAACAAGAGGAAGAGGAAGGATTATAACCTCATCCTGTTCCTAGTAAAATGTAAAATGTTCCTGCTGGTGTGAACTTTGGAAATTTTAATTTGATTTTTTTTAAAAAAATCCAAAATTAAGACTGAATTGTTTTTAAGATGGTTATTTTCAGATGGCAGCTTCTATAGAGACCAGATTATTACAGAGGAGTTTCTCTGAACTAGAAAAATGCCTGAGTTTCTTCTGAAAATTGTTCAGAAATTCTCAATACACCACATTTTTATAGCTGAAGTTGGATTATTGTTCTCTTATAGGAGAATCTTGTGGTACTTTAAAAACTCAGCAGTTTCTTTTCTCATAAGCTTTCATAAAATGATCCATGGATAAATGCCGCAATTGCATACCACTTTTCTGAACCACAAGGGATCTTTATTTATTATTATTTTGGTAGCAGCAGTTGAGATGGAGTAGGAAGGAGAGAAATACAAAGCCAAGAGTGCTAATAGAAGGAGTGGGTTCTTGTTTTTAGCTTTTGGTGTGAATATGCAAGCATTTGAAACTTAGAGAATTTGAATAACTATATATAAAATAGAATTATAGAAATAGATAATCTTTATTTAAAATGGAAAAAAAAACCTAAAACATTATTTCTCTCCTTTCCCCCATGGATGCTATAACTATTTCAAAAGTGAATCAGAGTCAATATGGAAAATCTAAAATACATTTTATTTTATTTTCCACCTGTCTTGCCAGGGGGCTACTCTAGGAAACTTACAAAAAGGAATAAATAAAAAGGAAGATATGAGAAGAGTGTAAAGAGAATAAAAGTAAAATAATAGTACAGTAAACTACAGTAGAATGAAAAAGAACACAATGAGAATACATCAATATGACAACCAAAAAGATGGACAGGTGAACAGTAGAGAGCAAGGGAAGGGAGCCAGAGTCTGCCATCAGTTCAGTAGTCACCTCCACCATTGACCCTCCTCCCTTCCATTTGTTCTCCCTGCCAAGAAGTCTAGCTTCTATAATACAGCTACTTTTTATTTTCACTGTGAAACTTTATTTGTAGACTGCCTTTATTCCCTGAAGTTAATAGATAATATCGTGAATCGTTAATATCTAAATATCCTACAGGAATACATCATGCCACTTCATCAATTGCACAGTATTCAGCAGAGATCTCTAGATTCAATTTTCACATTATATGGATCTATTAGACTTCTCAGTTAGACAAAGCAACATTGAATAAACTCTGACACACAAAAGCCCAATTAGTGAAAAAAGTATTATTTGCAATTGCAGCAGATTCAAGCTAACCAATCTAATAGCACAGAGAAAGAAAGTTATGTGGTGTTTCTAATAGTTTACTGTTATAAGCAACTTAAGTGGTGCCTTTTTGGGCCCCCAAGCTGGCAACTGTCTGGACAAGTCCCTGCAGTTTTCTTGACAATGTTTTCACAAGTGGTTCACCAATACCTTCTTTCTAGGGCTGAGGGAGAAGGACTGACTCAAAGTCATTCAGCTGGCTTCATGCCTTGTAATCTCCTGGTTTCTAGTCCCATGGCTTGACAACTACAGCAGAGTGGTTCTTTAGATTGTGGTGGCATAAAATCACTGTAATAAGTAAACAAGGAACATAAGAAAAACATCCCCCCCTTTATTTGTAGCCCAGGTTTTACCAGTATTTTAGCTATGGTTTTCCCCAGCAAGGGAGGGAACTGTCCAGCAGAGCAAGATAAATGCTTTAAAAAGGAAGGTTACCAAGACTGTCGAGGAACTGTCTATCTATCTGAATAAATACAGAATCTAGAGACAAGCTGTTAATCAAAAATAAGTGTAACTAATACAAATGAATTATACCTCCTAATCCTGTACTTCTTCCTTAGATAAAATATTTTTTATCTCCCAGAATTCCAAATGAGTTGTTTTGATATCTTTAGGCCCGGCAATTACCAGGATCTGTCTTCAGAGCCAAAACTATAGGTGTCCTGTGTCCAATTACTTATCCTCTACCTCTGAGAATGGTCCTTATAAATCAGACAGTAATAGAAAACTACTCTAAGGTGTAGTCTGTATACCAAGTTATTCTGAATATTTTGATGCTTTGAATCTTACAATAAACCTATTTGATTCTTCTTTATTGTATGCTAAGATTATTTATGGGTCCTCTTGCTAGGTAACCTGATGAAGCTGATATATAACCCACACATTCAAAAAAGTATGTAGGTTCTTATTATGCACACAGATATGCAGCCTCTTTTTTGATGGAACACCTTATAGGAGGAGGAATGGGAAACACTGTTTTACTTTTGTAAGGTGGTTAAAACCTTATTGCTCCATCAAGCCTTTGGTGCAGATAGAATACATGGGTTGCTGTTATAATCTTTTTAATACTGGTTTTTGTGTTATCTCCTGTTTAGCTTTTATTTTTGTTGTATTGCAAATATTCTGGACTTATATTATAAATATCCTGGAGCTTTCCTCTTCTTGAACCTAGGGCAGCATATCAAGAGTGGTGTAAATCAGGGTTTTCAAATTAGAACCTTAACCTTCTCCAAAAACTAAATGAAGCTCTGTGAGAGCCTAAGGGAAAAATCTTGAGCAAGAATGTCCATTGCAATTTTTCTAGGATACACAGAAATGTGCAGTTTCTTCCCTGTAAATAAAACAACTAGGCTGCCATTTGCAGATCAGAAATTCTCTGGGTATTTTTTTATAGAGGTTTAAGTTTAAAAAATTGAAAACTCCTGATGTAAATAATTAAAATGATACCAATATTGATATGATAAAATTATTAATTTATCACATTTATACTCATTGCTAGATAATTGTTAATAACCTAAATGCCCCAAGGTGCCTCCCGGAGAATAAAGGTGGAAGAAAGTATCTGTTGATTTTCTTTGAAATATCAGCATATATTTCAGCCAGACTATCTCTGGCACCTCTTTGAATGCATGATATGGCACATTGAAGGTTGATTGTGCTGGCTTATGTCTCCCCTATTGAGCTGTGACTACTGGTTCTGGATAGAGATGAGATCTGAGTGTCAGTTTCCTAAATGAAAGGAAAATACTTGACCTCTGCTATGAAAACATCATATTTGTAACAGTCCTTGTCCTTATAAACCATAAGCGACACTGTTTTCTTTTTGTTGCTTTTATTCAGCACCAAACATTTTTGTCATAGGAAAGTTTGCAGGCAATGTTGCCTTTGGGGAATGATCCAGCTCCCAATTGGTCTGTTATTTCTGAATATTGCTCAATAATTATGTGAGTGTGAGAAGGCAGGCTGAAATTGCTGAATCTAACTTCTTCTCTTTAATAAGAACCTAGACTTAGTGATTGAATTTCATCATGTTCTAGACAAGATTGCATACCACTGAAAGAATGGGTTCATCATTTGAAAGTGCTTCCTGATTCTTGGCTGTCACTAAATGTGCAGATGTAAGCAGTGGTAAAATAGGGTCTTGAGTATCTAAAGGACAATCTTTCCTGTTACGCCAACACAACAGATTGTATATTTGCCCACCCAAATTTTGAAGTAAATGTCAAT